TGTGAATTCCAATTGTGATCTTCGCAGGTTCTAATTGTGATTGGTTGTTGGGAGTTGTGTCAGAGACTGAGAAACACTGTGTGTCTTCTCCCCATTTGTGCATGATTGTCTTCCGCTGCTTATTTTCACCTGTGTACAGTTTGGACTCTGTCTCCTCTCTCCCCTTCTCTTATGCATGTATGGGCATGTGTGAGATTGTCTGTGTGTGAGTGGCGATAAAATTCGTCAGACAACCAAGTTCATAACACGTGAGCACCTGCCACACATTTCCCTTTTGTCAGACGACCGTTTTCTCTGTGATTGATTGTACAGCTTGCCACCCATTGCTCACGGGTCCCAAAAAATTCTAAAAGCGAGGCACAAGGCCTCGATATGCCCTACAGGGCCTTATTTTCAACACAGTCGGCCGCCCTAAGTGAAGGCAGGCTCGACCGAGGCCTACAGGCCATTTTGGGGTCACCACGCAACAGGGGAAATTCAGGCAGTTGTGCAGCGCCAGTTGGTTGAGAGCGCCCAGGCCCAGGCTGCCTCCTACGAATGTAACTGAGGCAGGCCCTGGGCCAGATTCGCTACATGGACCGAACACAGGCCGCGGGCAGTTGGACATGGGCAACCACCACAGGCCCAGGGCCTGTTTTGTTTGGACTGGGGCTCAGCCTCTTTGGGCCTACCGGAAGCTCCTGGGCAGGGGCCCAGCACAGCCAGGCTGCACGCAAGCAGACAGGCCACTTCCATTTAGGAAAGGGCCTGCCCACGCATTCGGCATTCGGGCACTGGCTGCATGCTGCACAAGCGCTGCTGCGGTAACGCTGGCCAGCCCTCACGCGCTCACGGGCGAGCTGGAAGGAGCAGGCAGCCATAGTCAAGCTGAGCTGTTGTATGCTGGATGGGGCGCATGGTGGTCCTTGGGTGCATGTGGCATCAGTGAGTTGGGGATCGAGGTTTGGAGGTTGTGAGTGATACGAGAGACATACCTGGTGCTTGAGGCGAACGACATTGACCGAGATCTGCTCGTACTTACGGGAGCTGTTGATGTCATCAGCAGCATTGTAGATAGGCTAGATAGGATCTGCCATTTGTAGTCTGGGCGCCGAGCGCCAGATAGGATATCGATATTGGTTCTTCGTTGATGATGATGAGACTATTCCAACATTGTCAATTATGAGCTTTTGCTGTGCTCTTATTTGGTGGAACTCATGATGTAATTCTGCTATTGGTTCGAGGTCACGACTATCCGGTCTCATGTGTATGATGCTGTTTGATTTCTGAAGTTCGCTATCGCTCATTTTCCTTGCAATTTGGTATCGGAGCTGTGGTACGGTGCGCTCATCTGGCGCTTGTCTTCTACCTATGCGGTACATGCACGCGGTCTGCTGGGCGAGCAGCCGTGGGAGTGTGTAGTGAGGAGGGCGAAGATAAGAAGGCGTCCCAGGTGGAGAGGGGATCGCCATGAAGGCTACGTGGTGAATATTGGGTGTTCACAGTGTGATGAGAACTGTCGGATGTGCGACTGATGCTGAGGTGGAACCGCGGTGTAATGCTGGTTGTGCCGAAGCAGCGATTGGTCATCACAATTGGCATCGGGTCATCTGATGAGAATATTTGTGGTTGGGGGCAGCTATTTTGAGGTACATTGCACCGAACCTTATCTACCCTCTTCAACACTTCTTACCGTGAGGATGTGTGTTCTGTCTTGAGAGACCTCTCATATGAGGAGTCGAGTGCGCTCAACCTTGAGAGTCATCAATGTTCTTGTGGAGCATCTGGAAGTAGAGGGCGGTGCTATTTGAAGGGCCCTGGACGAAGCACTGGGTCACGGTCACCATGCCAACCCACCGGGAGTAGAGCACGCATGCTTTGCTGCTTTGTCCTTTGTCTGCTCGCTGCGCTATAGAGGGGTTATGAGGGGCAGGCCAGCCCTATGGGAAAGACGAGTACCGGACGTCTATAAATAGGTACCGGCGGGGACCTTCCATTGGCTGTGATCGTCGTCCTGTTTGCAACGTTAAATAATTCCTGAGGACTTCGGGAGTCGTCCATAAAAATGCATCCTGATCAGCCAATCGGTCGCTGTAAGGCTCGCTGCACTCGAGGATAAATACGGTGCAGGGCTGGCCAGCTCAGCAGGACTCGGTGGGCCGTGTGCACACCTTTAGACACGCACGCTGTTCCGGATTGCTCAGGGACGTTGACGACAAGAGACATTCAGGAAGAACTTAGGGAGGGGTAGATTCCAGGTGATAAGTTTGGGCAAGATTCCATTCTGCAAACAGACCCAACAAATGATTTTGTTTTCATCTTGATTAGTTAGATGTACAACCATTAACATATCTGACAGACAACATAGTTAGAACTATTCTCTGTTCATTGAGCTTTTTGTTTGCGAACTAGTCAAAGTCAAAGTAGTTTCGTTTGTAGGAATCTGAACTTACTTGTTGGACCCAAATGTGTAGTCTCTGACATAGCCACCAATTATTTATTTTTATTTATTTTTAAATCAGTATGTACATCATGCTGCGGTAGGCATCGAGAGTGTCCTAGTGCAGAAAGTGTACAGTGTTGTAGCCTATGAGCGACAGGGAGGAAATTAGACAGGATGACCGGACCCTGCGGTCAGCGAGACGCCAGATAGCCCACTTGGCATTAGGACTAGAGGGCGAGAGACACCTGTTCCGCCAGCAGAGGGAGAGACAGCAGCAGCAGCGAAGGGCTAGGGCCGCAGAGGCAAGCAGGGCATTCGCGAGCGAGGCCGCTAGCTCAGCAGCCATGGCATCTGCTGCGCAGCAGAGCTCTCAAGCTAGTAATCCAGTTTCTGTAGGGTCAACAATCGCACATACCATGAGTCAATCCACTTGCGTTATGGCAAGCTAGCCGATAATTTTGACCCCCAAGGAGGTCGCCATACAGCGAGCAGCTATTCACGAGGCACAGCTACAACATGTGTTAGGAGAGATTAAGGCGGAGAAAGAGAAGATGATTAGAAGAAGAGCCAAGAT